ACCTATCTTCGGAGAATCTGTTATTAGCCCTGGGATGAATGCCAGGAACAGATGTTTTGGCAAGCAGAATTTACTCCTGTACTGGTTTAGTACATGCGCAGGAATATAGCTAATTGAGCAAATGCACGACACAAGCACGCTTATTGACTGCTCCAAGGACGAAGTCAAGTCCTATTTCCTCACTCTAGAGCCATAGATCACCTGGGTTTTCGTTCACAGTGCATGGGACGAGTTTACTTCCTTAGGATCTTCTTCCTAAGGAAGAAGGTGGTTGAGCAAGTTGAATGTCCAAAGGAGCGATTGGAAGCTTGTACAGTGTACAAGAATCTGAGCCCAAGAAAAGTCACACAGAATCGGATGAACAACGCACGCAGTTCTACAACTAGTTCTTGAGCAATTCTAGCTATGGATCTTTCCTTGTTCTTGATGCTTGCAAACCAGAAGCTACGGGATGCAAATATCCCAAACCCCAGAAACCTTCCTGCATTTTAACTCCCTGACTTCAGAGTGGCATAAAACCCACATTCTAAGGAATTCATCCTGTGTTTGTTGGTGTCTGTTTTCAAATTGTGAGAATTTGTTTTTTCTAGCTAGTACTTTATTCAGTCCAATAAAAGGGAAAAGCCCTTATACAATTTTGCCAATGAGCAACTCAAGACAGGATTTGCTTTCGTGCTCAGGATTTGCTGGGATAACATATTTCAGAGCTCATTAGAATGCTGTCTTCACAAGGTTTCCTCTGAAATGCTGATTTGGCATCATGATGAAGAAAAGGCTTTTGAGACTTCTCAGTGCATTTGTCAGTCATTTAAAAATTTATCTGCCCTTGTAACCTCACCCGTAGCTGCCTATCAAGAATAAATGCATGAAATATAGGTGGATTTATTTTGCTTTTGTGACGGAAGGGAGAAGGGCCTTTTATTCAGGGAAAACTGGAAACTCTGGTGCGGTACTCAATGAAGAGAAGGCACAAGCATTTAGTTGGTTGGCATTGTTTTTTTTTTTTTCCGTGCTTAATTTTGAGCTGCCAGATTCCCAAATCAGCTGGAAATGAAGCCAGTTTAAGGAACTGCTTTCTGGATTTCAAGTCCTTCCTCTGTTTTGGTCATAGTGATAGCTGCCTGTCCTGCCCAGACCACAGTCGCCATCATCCAAAATTGGAGGATTCCCCTGCAAGCCTTTTTCTTCTCATGGATGAGCCTCTGAGGATAGGTAGCTTCCTTGAATCCATGCTTCTCCACTCACTCCCTTGTGTAGTTGTACCCACCAGTGGATCAGTTCAAAGAAACACTAGAGTTTCACCATTACTCCTGTCAATTGAGCTACAAGGGAAAACTTTGGCATCGTGTTCACCAATCTCTTTTGAAATAAAAGAAGCATAATCTGGTTGCATCAGTGAACTTGCTTTTTTTTTTTTTTAAAGGCAGCCTTCCTTGACTGGTCTGCAATGAACCTTAAAGACAAAAACTGAACTTTTTACTGGTCCACAATGACCTCAGGGTTTTTTTTGGGTGGTGGTGGGGAAAGGGTGTTATTGTAGTTATTTTAGGTTCTGTGTTTCACTAATTCAGCAGCCCAGAATGAAATGGCCAGGGCAGGATAACAATCATTGACTGGAGGGGAAGAACATTACCTGCCATAGTGGAGGGCATTTTGCTCAGCTCAGCATGCTGAACTCCATGGGAGAACCAGTGGGACTCTGAGTCAACCCACTGCTCCTAATGATCCTTTTCCTACAATCTTGTGCTTCTGTACCTCTCAGACTTCTGACTCTTAACTAATGTCACTATGTTGCCCATAGCCTTTTGAAGTATGTGACTTACTTGGAGAGTTCAAATCCCAGTTTGGAACTGTAGATCTTAAAATAGCAGGAATCAGTTCCTCCAGCTTGCGCTAGTGAGCCTCTGATACAGATAGTTCTCAATTTACGACCACAATTGAGCCCAACATTTATGTTGCTCAGTGAGAAATTTGTTAAATGAGTTTTGCCCCATTTTACAACTTCCCTTGCCCCATGTGTTAAGTGAATCACCGAAGCTGTTAAATTAGTAACCCATTTTTTTAAGTGAATCTGGTTTCTCCGTTGACTTTTGCTTGTCAGAAGGTTGCAGAAGGTGATCACATGACCCCAGGGCACTGTCATAAATGTAAGTCAAGCTTGTCAAGCACCCGAATGTAAATGACGTGACCATGGGGATGCTGCAATGGTCATGAAAAATGGTCATGAGTCATTTTTTCAGAGCTGTTGTAGCTTCGAATGGTCGCTGAGTGAACTGTTGTAGGTCGAGGACTATCTGTATTTCACTCACTTCCCCTGCTCTGATTTTCTATAGGTCAGCCAAAACATATTGATAAATATCGTTGGGTAGAAAAAATGTGTTTATTACTGAAATGTGAATTCTCTTCTAACAACCGAAATGAGGAAACAATGATTTTGGCTGCCACAGGATTACCGATGGGATAGGGATCACTCCTTCATTGCAGGAATCCTAATTAAAGCATAAATCTAATCTCATCCTCACCCACCCATCTCAATATCTGGTGAGACATAAAGCAGGCAGACTAGGTCTATCACTACTGATCTGAGAAAGAGAGATTACTTTTTGCCAGTGCTGTTGAAAAAGGCTGTATAAATAGATAATTCTGCTGATATTGCAATTTGATGTGCAAATAAATGTCCAATGTCCAATAAGGTTCTACCAGAACTGAACCGGGTTTTTATGCACACCTGCAAAATGCTTCCCATCAGGGGTGAAATGTTATCGGTTCGGACTGTTTCGGCCAAACCAGTAGCAATGGCGGTGGGTGGTTCGGAAAACCCATAGTGACGGCAGCGCGAGGCTCCACCCACATGCCCGGTCGTAACCTGTTTTTTACCCTCTGCACATGCGCAGAAGGATCCACGCGCGCACATGACAAACCGGTGGGAAAGGTAAGTAGATTTCACCCCTGCTTCCCATATACTTGTTATATTATAAATATATTTCAAAAGTAGCATAAGAAAACAAGTTAAACTAAAAGCATAGGAAATGAGGCTAGATTTCTTTGAAATCTATCTCTCAAAGAAGGATTGCCGAAAGCTTTCATTCAAAGGTGATTCCTTTGAATCTCCGAACGGATCAACTTTCTGAATTGCACTGGTGATTCAGATCAAATCAGATGTTCTTTTTTAAAAAATCAACATTCTAAAAGCTGATTCACTTATCTCTAAATCATCAGCGTCGGTGCCCTTGCCAGACATCCGCTCTGCCAGTAGTCACCTGCTTGGCTTCTGACAGGGCCCAAAATAAAACTGAAAATAAATGAAATTGGCAGAACACCAACTCTATATAATCTAGATGTCCATTCCCAGGTAGCAGTTTTGAATTTGCATGGATTTCAGTGTAATCTTCGGCTCTTAATGCAAAGATGACATATTCATTCCTCCATATCTACAACACTAAAAAGATAGAATTTGACACATTTATCAAATATATTTACATATGCAAATCGATAAACATGTCAGATAAAGTGCATAGGATGGTGCAGTTCTAAATGAATATAGCATTGAAATGACAATTCAAAGTTACATACTTCTGAATTCTACTTCTACTTGGGTACAAATTATACACAGCTACAGTTACTCTGTATATCAATAGTATTAATATTAAGCTCATGCGATATGTAATAGTACTGAAAACAGCATACATACTGTAGGTCCTTGGTTGTTTTCGTGCAGATGTTTCATTACCCAACTAGGTAACATCATCAGTGCTAGAAAGGAGTGGGATTTACTCTCTGTATATATACAGTGACTTGCCCCGTTAGAATTGATGGGAGTATTCTTGGTGGTTTCTTGATTGTTATCTAGATGGGTAATGAAACATCTGCAAGGAAACCAAGATCAGAGATTACCAAGGTCCACACAGTTCAGCCCTGTGCTACAAATATCTTCTTCTATCAATGCATACTGTACATACTAGGATCATTTTTCTTCAACCTCCAATAGGCAGATTTTTTTTTTTAAAAAAAGGGGTGGGTGCAGTGGTGGGTTGCCCCCGGGTTCAGCCCAGTTCTATAGAACCGGTAGTAAAACCAGCGGGAGGCTCCGCCCACTGACCCGGATATCATCAGAAGCAATCTGTGCATGCACAGACCGGTTTGCATCACACGGGCATGATGCAAACCGGTAGTAAAGGTAAGTAGAACCTACCCCTGGGTAAGTGGGAGAAGAGGAAAGGCTTCACATATTCTTTGTTAAGCAATTAGTTTAGTTTAGTTTAGTTGGATTTATATACCGCCCTTCTCCTGAAGGATTCAGGGCGGTGAACAGCCAAAGATAAAACACATGCAATATAAAATTTAAAAACAATTTAAAACATATTAAACAAATTTGGCCCATACTAATTAAAACACCCCATTTTTAAAACAAATTAAAATTAAGCAATTAAAAGGAGTTAGGCCAGCCCAGCTTGTTGGAATAAAAAAGTCTTGAGGGCACAGCAGAAAATGCGTAAATCCGGGATCCTCCGTAACTCCGAGGGGAGCTCGTTCCAAAGGGCAGGTGCCCCCACAGAGAAGGCTCTCCCCCTGGGGGCCGCCAGTCGACACTGTTTGACCGACGGCACCCTGAGGAGCCCCCCTCTGTGGGAGCGTACTGGCCGGTGAGAGGCTACCGGTGGCAGAAGGCGGTCTCGTAAATTGTAGCAGTTGTGGGATTAAAAAACATCTGCCAAATTGGGGAGTACATCCTGGATGGTTTGACCAATATCCGGTGTAACATCTTATCAATCAATCCATGTGATTTCTGTTGGGCGTGAACAGATGGTCACTACATTACCAAGTTCATGCTGCCTGCTATCACCATATAATCTCTCTTTTTCGTGCTTCGTCCTGCAGTGTTAATGAAAAGCTAGGGAATTTTAAGTTCTTCACCCTCCAACAAGGTTGCAACGAGTGTAAAAAATATTCACTCTGTGCACACAAAATGAAAGAAGCCTGAAAATCGTAGCCGCGGGATATGTGTGGATGGGTCTTTCTTTTTATTACATGTTCTTTTAAAGTTGATCGTGTTCGATTAATTCTAAATTGGCTCAAAATGTTAGGGAAGGGAAGGAGAACATTTATTCACCAGGTTGCAAGCCCCACGGATTTTAGAACATTCAAAAGAAAAGCACTAACAAAAGACACAAATCTGAATTACACCTTGTCTTGCCTTTAGAAGTTGCAGGCAGGCTTTCTAAATAAATCCTTAATAGCTGCTTTTAGTTTGCCACTCTTTTCCAATCAAACATTTCTTCGCATTTACAAGTAGGTGGTTCACTTGTTGAGCGACTTCACCTAACCACGTGGGATTCACAGCTCAGCACTGGAAGGATTTCACAGATTACTCTTTAGTAGGTGATGGAAGCCGAATCTTCTTCAGTAACTGTAACTGAGAGAAAATTCGAGTGGTTTAACCCATAGCTTACACTCCTGCCAACTTTCAGTTTGTTCATACAGACTCTTCCGTTTTATGCAAACTGTAGCAATCTGTTCTGCATGCAGGATAAAAGTTCATCGTCAATATAACATTCTTTATGCACTCTTATGAAACAGAAGACTTTTTTTTTTTCATTGTGTGAATCAGCCTAAAATGTGTATAGGCACGGTGCCAGTTGGCCAAGCAAACTACAGTATGCTTTACACGTTCAAATAAGAGAGATCTTTCTTCTGTGCTGATTAGAGATTATCTAAAACCATTCACTACCCAAATGAAGCTGCTGCTATATTACAGTGGCATCAATCATGCAAGTGATTAATATCCTGAGATACCTATCGGCTTGCTAACATTGTGAGCAATAGAATGTCCTTAGACCTGTTTTAATCAGCAAGGAACAACAGAAAAGACAAGAATCTTGTCAGTCAACAAACATCCCAAAGAGCTACTTTGAAGTCACTGGAAGATTTGGTGCTAACATATAGGGAGGACCCATAGAAAGATGTATTTTGTGGGACACAGTCAACAGTTTGGTGTTTCATTGTATAGGCAAAGTGGAGTATGGATTGTATCAAATAAATAGAACAGTATACTCAAATTTTGTGGCACCAAACAGGATAAATTAATTTGCATAACATCTCCCGGAGAATAACAACGTTTCATTGGGCTTGAGCAAGAACTATAAATATAAATATAGTGATATATAAATATATCACTTTTAAAAATTACATCTTAATCTGTATATCAAATAAAACAATGATAAAACTTTACAACTTCATAAAATAAGGCCATTTAATTGGAAAGATTCCCCCCCCCTCCCAAAGCCAGTAAAGATTGAACCCGTATTTTTCATGGGAAGTATGAACTTGCTTACTTTTGGCTCAATGCCTAAAATCTGAGTTCCATTTTGAAGACAGCACTTTCTTCAGTGAGTGCTCCCTTCAAAATGGTGAGCATTTTCACTCACCATAGTCAGGGAAAACGAGGAGGTGTCCTTCTCTCAAATTAGCTTCTTTTAAAACTGCTCTTAAAAAGGCCCCACTTGTGGAACACTGGCAGGCTGTGCAATTTTTTAGTGCTTTCTCTTTCTCTCTCAGTGCAATATATCATCTTTTGTCCCTTCCAGAGAGGTGATTCTTCTCCTATCCTAGCCATTGCTTCCTTGCTGTATAACCCTTCATATGGGACTCTTGCATGTAGTACATATTTCATCAAATAAATAAGCCAGATCTGGGGACCTTTCACCCATCATCCTGCAATTCCCCTCAGAAGGTCTTGCCTGACAAATGTTGATATTTTTGACCTCCCCCCACCCCATTTACATTTATTATTCTGTTTTTATCTGGGTCTCACTGCCACCCTTGAGTTGGGGCCTTGCTGACACCTCACTTAACTCAAGTCAATTGTCCCAGAATGTAGACTATATTGCTGCTTCTGCATGGATGGATAGATGTAAGGGTGGTAGAAGATTTTGTCAGACTGCCTTTCTTTTTGATTAGGGGTTGTGTAATGTGATGTACTTTCTGCTTTGCACGTCTTTTTTTATTATTATTATTATCATGATTCCGCCCATCCCTAAAAGGAAAGCAGCTGTCATTTTCTAGCAGTTCACAATGGTTAAACAATTGCTTGTGTGCAGGATGTGGGAGGTAGGATGTAATGGAGCAATGAAAGAAGTGATTCTAGTTCACAGCACTGACAGCCATGGTAATATGTGACTTTGGGGTGCTGTGTAGCAGAAAAGAGTACAGATCACCCATCCCCTGCTATTTGCCAGAGAAATGATGATAGGTTCAGAAACAACACGTGGATTAAGAGAGCGAGGGTAGCAAAGATTGCCTGTGGTTGCTGTGGTTTATCTAATTAATGGAATGACCTCCCATAAAAGTAATGTTCTTAGTTATATTAACAACAACAGCCAACTCGCCATGTGAATTGACCTTTACGTATTCCTATCCCTTTTCGTTTACCAACATGGCATTTACTCCAGGAAGGGAAGTTTTCATTCAGCGCATTTCCACATCCAGCTGGCTAAAATGTATGCTAAACTGACATTTAGAATAATCTCTGAAACTCCTCACCTTCCCTGGGAAAAAAGAGAGGGGGGGGAGAGAGAGAGAGAAAGAAATAATAAATGGAACCATTTTTCATGTGATTTAAATTTGAGATTCTGAAAATGCTTTTTTGGAAGCCATTTAAAATAATACCCAGATATGTGGTGGACATTCAGGTTACTGGGTAATGATAATAGGACCTTTTTCAATGACTGAGTAATTACTTTCTCACTGTGCTCAGAGTGAGTTTGAACTATCTGTCTTGTTCACAATTTAAACCTGCAGCACATGAGCAGAGGGGCACTCAGCCTGACATTTTACATTCCAAGCCGGCTTCCTATAAAGAGGAGGGAACCTGCTCACCATTCAGTCTTGCTAATATTTGAAGAAAAAGGAAGGTGAAGCAATGCTAGGAATGAGAGAAATACTCTTATAATTGCCACCTTCTCATTTTTTGGAACTCAAATATCACACATTAGAGATGTTTTTGCACGCAATTTATCTAACAGCAGTCTTTCCATATATAATTTCGAAGAGGAATCTAATTTTCTTCTATAGCTACATTTTACACAGAGTGCGTGTGTTTTCCCACAATACAGATTTTCGTATGCATTTTTTTTAACAATTGATAAAATACAGGTCACCCTCCCCCAGTGGTGGGTTTCAAATTTTTTTACTACCGGTTCTCTGGGTGTGGCTTGGTGGGTGTGGCATGGCTTGGTGAGCATGGCTTGGTGGGCATAGCAGGGGAAGAATACTGTAAAATCTCCATTCCCACTCCAGAAGATTTTATGAAAAATCCCCATTTCCTCCCGATCAGCTGGGACTTGGGAGGCAGAGAATAGATGGGGGCGGGGCCAGTCAGAATTTTTACTACCGGTTCTCCGAACTACTCAAAATTTCTGCTATCAGTTCTCCAGAACTGGTCAGAACCTGCTGATACCCACCTCTGCCCTCCTCTTACAACAATTCATTTAGTGACTGTTCAAAGTTACAATGGCACTGGGAAAAAAATGACTTCTGTTTTTCACACTTATGACCTTGGCAGCATCCCCATAATCGGGGGATCAAAAATTCAGATGCTTGGCAACTGGTTCATATTTATGAACCAGGGTTCACCAAGGTTGTGGTATCCCAGGGTCATATGGATCATCTTTTGTGTCCTGCTGACAAACAAGTAAATGGGGAAGTTCGGATTCACTTAACAACTGAGTTACTCACTTAACAACTGCAGTCATTCACTTAACAACCGTGGCAAGAAAAGTCGTAAAATGGGGCAAAACTCATTTAGCGAGATATATTGTGGGCTCAGCTGTGATTGTAATTTGAGGACTACCTATAAATCATTGAATTAGGGTAAAACCCCAGCTGACTTCTCTATATGGATATGAAAATATCACCAATAGAATCCTGATCCAAGCATAAGATCCTGAGCAGGGGTGAAATCCAGTAGGTTCTGACAGGTTCTGAAAACCCGGTAGCGGAAATTTTGAGCAGTTCGGAGAACCGGCAAATACCACCTCTGGCTGGTCCCAGAGTAGGGTGGGAATGGAGATTTTGCAATATCCTTCCCCCAGGAATGGGGTGGGAATGGAGATTTTGTAGTATCCTTCCCCTGCCACGCCCACCAAGCCACACCACGCCCACCAAGCCACGCCCACAGAACCGGTAGTAAAAAAATTTGGATTTCACCACTGATCCTGAGCATAAGACTTTCCATTATGTTAGTTCACCCATTTTCAGGAGGCAAGTTGGAGATCACACCTTCTCTTTTCAAATAGAGCATCAGTATAACAGGAACCATTGCTGAAGTAGAACATATCTTCTTCAAATGCCCATCTTTTCTTCCCCTTTGGAAGAGACTCAGAAATCGATCCCACTTCTACAGGTTGACGTGTTACAGTAGTCTTAAAGAGCAATTGTTGGATTCTAAGGCCAAGGAGGTTAGGCACAGTTATAAAGAAATAGATTAAATCCAGATCTAGTTTTACTTAGAGAGCATTTCCCATTGGCATCAAGTGGAGGAACTTGATTTATCCACTTGCAGTGGCCTGTGGCTTCTCTGTCCTTTTCAGACGTGGGATTCACTTATCTTCCCTACCGGTTTGCAAATGTGAGCGCATGTGCCACCTCTGTGCATGCGCATGGCCTTCTGCACATGCGCAGTAGTCGCGCATTACATCTGGGTGGGTGGGTGGGTGGGCAGAGCCTCCCGCAGTCACCGCTACCAGTTCGCACGATCCGGACAGAACTGGCTGAATCCCACCACTGGTCTTTCTGAATTCTCTTGTAAAACAAGGATCACCTGACCAAACAATAGACAGGTGACAATGCAGGTAATCCTCAATTTATGACCACAGTTGAGCCCAACATTTATGTGGCTAAGTGAGACATTGTTTAAGTGAAATTTGTACGACCTTTGTTGCCACAGTTGTTAAGTGAATCACTGCCGTTGTTAAGTTGATAACACGGCTGTTAAATGAATCTGGTTTCCCCATTGACTTTGCTTGTCGGAAGGTCGCAAAAGGTGATCACAGGACTCCGGGACACTGCAACTGTCATAAATATGAGTCATATGCCAAGCATCTGAATTTTGATCACATGACCATGGGGGATACTGCAAGCGTCATAACTATGAAAGGAGATCGTAAGTTACTTTTTTCAGTGCCGTTGTAACGTGGAATGGTCACTAAATGAACTATTGTAAGTTGAGGACTACCTGTACTGCCATGCATGGTCAGGGGATCATTTCTTTAAAGAAATATCTCGTGTGTCACTGCAGTCCACCAAGCCTGGGTTTCCTTACTACAAAGCAATTGAATAAAATAAACCCATTCCTTTCAATGAAAGGCATGCAAGATGTTTTCATTTCCTTCACAAAACAGCGGATACACATTGGCAGAATCTGCTTACTAAATATGCAAATCATAGCGGAAGAAAAGATATTTGTTAACTCATTCTCTTTGTCTGAATTATGAATTAGGCTGTTAGACCCGAGTTCAGACTTAAAGGCAAACAAAGCAGCTTATGCATATTAAACATTATGGCCTTTACCTTCATAGACACCAAGTCGTCTTTTGGGATATTGATCTTAACGTCTGATTTTGAGGAGTATATATTCAGATTTGCCTTGTCAAATATTTCTAATATTAAGAAATTAAGGGCTATATACAAATGAAACGTTGGTTCCTTATTTCTCACACCAGTGCATTAAAATTTCAGCACTCTCATCAGTGGTATTTTTTTTTTAATGACCCTACGGTGCCAATAGCAATCTTCAATAACGCTACTATTGTTGTCTCTAGTTCTGCTCTACTTGTGCAGCCTAAATAAGAGATTATTTATTTATTTGAGTTGGGGAGGTCTCATAAATTGTGATTATAAATAAGTAAACATTTGTCAGACTTTGCCTCCAGATCTATTCCAAAATTTTCTGAGGAACTGGTATTTTTACAACAGCAATTGTGGAATCCTTAATGCTCTCTGAGCTTGGTTGTTTGCTTGCTATGTATAATGTTAGTCAGATAATGAAACATCAGGAAGCAAACAACGAAGCTCAGAGAGCACCAAGGACTCAACAGTTCAACCCTGAGCTACAGATATTCACTTCCATTGGAAGTGAATTACATAATTATAATTACAATCTGGTAATTATAAAGCAACGACAAAATGACTTTAAATGAAATAATTCTCTTCTCAGTATGGAATGTCATAAATCACCATTATTTCAGCAAAAGCCACACCGGCTTATCCTAGAATAAGAAGAACAGTGTCACACAATGATCGTTTTTTTGCCCTAACCCCAATAAGTATTCTTCCCAGAATGATCACAATGTGGTTTTCATAGGATTTATATTTATGTTTGTATCCTCGAAAATTGTTTCAGCGTTGCAGAGTTCAATTGGAGCAAACCCCTTCTTTCCATTTACAGTTCAAATGAGCTTAGATGGAAAACAAAAGGTCTTCTTCTAAAATGGTTAATTTTAGAATAGGAAACTCTACTTACCCTTGTCTCTAGAAATGACAGCAGCTCCATCAATTTAAATAATGTAATTTACACATTTCATTTCTCAAATATGGAAAGCGGAGTAAGTTTGCAAGTAAATCAAACTGAATATCTCCACCTAACTCCCTATAAAAAAACGTGTACTGATAACCTATCAGCAGTTACACTGGCAATTATGTATGCCCTATAATTTGGTCTTTATTCTAGCTGGTAGGCTTGAAAAAAAATAACACTTTACTTACAAAGAACCTTTCTCCTCTTAAATAATGGGGGAAAAAATACCCTTGGTTGTCAGCATAATATCTTGACATTTAGGATGCCTGCCTGTCTCTACTGGAGTCAGATGTGAAAATAAATAGATATTAAACTGTCAGTCAATGAAATTACAAAGTCAAGGAGTGCTCGTGCAGAGATCCTGTGTGTTCTCTTTGATGGACACAGGTGTTTGTTATGAAATCCAACAGGGCCTTCAAGTGTAGATCAGACCTTCTTAGATTAGTGACATCAAGTGGGACGAACCTCCCTGTGTCATTAGGGTGACCAAAGGAAAATACTAACTCCACATTTCCCCCAAAGCCATTCAAAGTTCTTCTCTGTTGAAAGAAGAAGAAGAAAAAAAGAAAGTAAGGAAAGTGTAAAGAAAATAGCGCCTACCTTTGGGAAGTGGGGCAGTGTACTTCTTCAAGAATGAAGGGTATTCCCACAGGCCTTCCATACTAATGTGATTCAAATGCCAGAAATGTACATCATTTATTTATTATTCATCAGGCACTTAAAGTCAATCATCCTTCACTAATAAACATTAACAGTATTAAAAATTAATGACCATCGCTCAGCCTGCTGAGACAGATCCGGTTTGGCTTGTTTGAGGCATATTGGACCAAAGTATCTTGCATTCTTTTCTGCTGGTATTGCTGTCAGTCTCACAGTCTCACTGTGGCAATCAGCTAAGTAAGTGACAGACCCTCCCTCATCCAGAAGGTAGGATTCTTTCTTTCTTTCTTTCTTTCTTTCTTTCTTTCTTTCTTTCTTTCTTTCTTTCTTTCTTTCTCACCTTTTCTCTCTCTCTTTCTCCTTTATTCTTTCTTTCTTTCTCTTTGCCTCTCTCTTTCTTTCCTTCCTTCCTTCCTTCCTTCCTTCTCTGTCTCTATCTCTCTCTTTCTTTCTCATCCTTTCTCTCTCTTTCTTTCTCCTTTATTTTTTCTCTCTCTGTGTTTCCTTCTTTCTTTCTTTCCTTCCTTCCTTCTTTCTCTCCTTCTCACCCTCTCTCCCTCTTTCTTTCTTTCTCCTTTCTTTTTCTCTCTCTCTCTGTCTCTCTCTCTCTCTTTCTTTCCATCCTTCCCTCCCTCTCTCTTTCTTTCTTTCTCACCCTCTTTCTCTCTATGTCTCTTTCTTTCTTTCTTTTTTTCTTTCTGTCTTTCTTTCTTTCCTCAGTTTTTTCTTTTCCAGTGAGGTCACTCTCATGTTTTTATTTATCTCTTTTCATAGGATCTATTTTACTCTCACTAATTAAAAAAAATATCTGAGTGCCTTACATCTAATGTATCTTCTCCCCTGCTGTATCTCTATGTGTCTGGACTTAAGGAGAATGATTTATAGTTCCTTCCTAGACCAACACAAATTCAGAAAACAAACCTTAATTCTGCCATGCTTTATATTTATACGAGTTGATTTCTTATATCTTGCCTAGTTACTAAAGCCAAAAAGACTCATTGATAGTGCATTAAACTCATTAAACCCATTAAACAAACTCTCTTTATCCACCCCAACAATAAAAAAATCCCAACTATGTTATAAGCGGCAAAGAAAAGAAAAAAAAAGTTAGGAATTTGCCAAGGCCTCCCAATGTACCTAACCTGCCTTTCTCCAAATCTAACATGGAAAAGCTGTCCTGAAAGACAAGGGAGAAGGGATAGACGGGGTCTCAGTAAGGAGGAAATCAAAAGCAGAGGGGCAGGTATATTACCATTTACTACTCTGGACATAACAACAAAAAATGAACAGCATTTCTTTAAGAGTTAGGAAATGCAGAGCCACGATGGCTCTTGGACCCACAGCAATTGATGACTGACTACTTCAATAGACTTTGCTAGTAACACTTTAATATTCTGGTTATCCACATTTATGCTCCAACTTTTGTGGCAGATGCATCAGAAGTTGATGTACTGTATGTTAAAGTTAATCCTTAACAGACAAAACTTGCAAGCAGGATGTGCTGCTTGTGGCTAGAGACTGGCATGCCAACATTAGAAATAGTATGGATGAAAACAGAATTGGAATGTATGCCCTAGGGAACAGAAATAAAGCTGGAGAACGACATATCTATTTCTACCAATCCAATGATTTTCCCCGCTCTCCAATCACATTCTTCAAACAAAATGATACCTATATACTATACACAGACATCACCAATGGAATACACACAAGTCAAATTGACGATATTATTAGTGTAACTAAGAGAAAAAGTTCATTAGTAGCAAACAGCAAAGACATGGCCAGGTGCTGATTGTAGAACAAATCATGAACCACTCATGTGCAATTACCAAGTCAAGCTAAAGTGTGTGTGTGTGGGGGGGATACCAGTCAATTTCCACAATACACTCTTGAGCATATATCCACAATTTCCAAGAATCACTTTGATGTCTTGAACTTCATCAATAAGGAACCAGAGGAACTGTGCAATGAAAGCAAACATTGTTAAGGATGAATGTAAAAAGAGATAGACAAAGATCAAGAAACAGAAGAAAGAAAACTGATGCCAGAAGGGTGGAAATTACTGAGAAGAGAAGCCAAATCCAAAAAGACAAAAATCTGAGAAAAGAACAAAGAATTTCAGAAAACTGCTAGAAAACACAAGAAGCAGTATCACAACACACATAAAGGCATCAAAGATGGAAACAGACACAGGAAAAACAAGGAAAGTCTTCCAAAGGTTCTCTGAACTCAGGACAAAGTTTAACCTTAGCTTTATAGGCTACGGACACTCATGAATAATTAGTAACTAATTCTGAGAAGATCAAACAAAGATGAAGAAGCATACTGAAATTCTGTACAACAGTCTATCCAAAATAACTTACAAGATACCTCCTATTTACAAGAACTTGTAGTACTAGAAGATAGATTAGCCTTATGTTCATTACCAAGTCAGAAAGCCACAGGAATTGATGGGATATCTACAGTATACAGCAACATATCAGCAACAGAAAAAAAATCAGTAAAAATTCTCACCAAAGGCGCTAGAAAATTTAAAGTAAACACGGTGACTAGCAAATTGGAAGAGGACAATTACCTACCAATATCAGAGAAAGGAGACTATGCAAACTATTATCCAATAACTTTAATTTTAACTATTTATTTAAATGTATTAGCTGCCCAACTCCAATAGATTCTAATTTTATGTGTTAGCCCTTTGACATAGGCTAGGTCAAAATATACACAGCACAAAAACTACTGCCATTCTACTGTAATATAATATAATAATAGAATCTTGAAAGATCTGACAGATTTTCTCACCAACCCCACTGAATGTGTCGTCCTTAATGGAACTACATGTACATGGAAGAAAATATGCAGTGGGGTTGTTCAAGATCCTGTCTTGGACCCAGTGCTCTTCAACATCTTCATAAATGACCTAGATAAGGACTGCATGATCAAATTTGTGGATGACACAAAGCAGGGAGGAACTGCTAACCCCTTGGAAGACAGCCTCAACTTTCAGAAGGATCTAGGCAGACTTGACCATTGGGCCCTTTGATCCAAAAAAGGCACAGTTCTGTGACAAGATAAGTAAGGACCTGCACTTAGACACATAGGTACAGGATAGGGAGTACCTGACTCAACAATACTGTAGTACTTGTGAAAGGGATCTAGGTGTCTTGGTGGACCACCACTTAAATATCAGTCAGCAGTATGCTGCAGCTACCAAAAAAGCCAATACAGTCCTGGGTTGCATCAACAGAGGGATAGTATCAAGATTAAGGGAAGTGATAGTACCACTTTATACAATTTTGGTGAGGCCACATGTGGAATACTGTGTCTAGTTCTGGTCACTACAAGACAAAAAAGATTCTGAGGACCTAGAAAGAATGCAGAGAAGAGCAATAAAGATAATGAAGAGTCTAGAGGCTAAATCCTATGAAGAACAGTTAAAGGAATAAAGCAATGTTTAACTTATCGAAGTGAAGATTGAGGGGAGGCATAACAGCAGTCTTCCAATACTTGAGGGGATGCCAGAGGGAAGAGGGCATTGATTTATTCTTCATAGCACCCGAGGGGAGGACAAGAAGCAATGGGTTAAAGAGAGGGAGATCTAACTTGAAAATAAGGAGGAATTTCCTGATAGTGAGAATTATTAAGCACTGAAACAGCTTGGCTCTTGGAGTTGTGAGTGCTCCATTGCTGGAGATTTCCAAGAAAAGATTGGACAATCATTTGTCCAAGATGGTATGAGGACTACTCCTTAGACAAGGGGTTGGACTAAAAGACCTCCCAAGGTCCCTTCCCCTCCCCATATGATTCTATGATTCATTGATCATGGAAAGACTTTTGTCAATCTGTGACATGAACTTAGGAAAAATATATTGTACACCACCCAGAGCGCCTTTCTAAGGGAGATGGGCAGTTAAAAAGTATGAAATATAAACAAAAATCCCACAGTTTATCATTATCTTCACAAAAAGCCCATACACAGGAAGCCACTGTCTGAACACAACATGCTGAAAAAGATTGCTTCCAGGTCAGCAAAGGAATGAGAAAAGACCTTATACTCCCTCCTTATTTATTCCACCTTATTTGCTGAATATTTATTGAGGGAGTCTGGATTGGAAAAAGATGAGAGTGGTTATAAAATTGGAGGGAAATACATCAATAACCTACACCATGCTGCTGGCACTGTTCTGCTAGCTGAAAATTCAAATGATCTGGAAGCTCTAGTCACGAAAGTCAAAGAGCACCGTGAAGAAATGAAATGGAGATTAAAGAAGATTAAACTAATGGCAATGGGGATAGCAATCAGCTTTAGAATTGATGATGACGATATTGAAATGGTGGGTAGCTTCTGCCTTTTAAGGATAGCTAACCAACAACAGTAAAGAAACAAGCAGTCAAGAAATATACTCTTGCCTACTGCTTAATAGCAACGAAGGCCATAGATTAAGACATTCAGATTCTGAGATATGTTTATACTTACAAATTAATATTACAAAGACCAGAACTGTGCGGCAATGGTTCTCGCATGTGATTCTATGAAAGCAAAACTTGGACTTTGAAGAAGGAAGATAAAAAAGAGTACTTGAGTGTTGGAGAAAACGTCTGAGAATATTACGCATAACTAAGAAAACAAACATAGAATAAATCAATCTACAATTCTCACTGAAGACTCAAAAGCCCAGGCTTAAATTATATTTTGGACACATTATGCAAAGACCTAGTTCTCTTGAGAAGTCTGTAAGGCTGAGAAGGGTGGAAGAAAAGAAGACCAGAAGCAAGATGGACGGCCCTCATTACTACAGTGATCGTGAAAGAGCTAAATCCTGGGGGCAGATCATCTTGGAGAAGCTCTATGTAGTCACTAGGAGCTGATACCAACTTGATGATATATAATCAATATATTACATAAATGTATAGTATATGCAATTGTATACTAATAGGAAGAGCTTTGTATATATAACATTAAATTGCTGTAAGTTAACTGATATCAGGGTGGATAGATAGTGATGGCTGTATGCCCTGGTTGTATAATTCTATATCTCATA